TGTTTGACATCCTGCCAAGATTTTGGGTTTCAGCAAGATGGTGCAGCGTGCCATACCTCAAAAAAGGCTATGAAATGGATGGGAGAAAATAATGTACCACTTTTGAAATGAGTTTCTAGCAGTCCAGATCTGTCACCTATTGAAACTTTGTGGCACGAGATGAAAAAGGTTCTACGACAACATCCTGCTCGTACAATCACCGAACTGAGACAAAAGCTTCAAGAAATATGAGATTGTTTTACACCAAATTTTTGCCAAAACTTGGTTAACACTATGCCCCAAAGAATTTCAGCCGTAATAAAAAATAAAGGTGATGTTACCCAATGGTAATCTTTCAATTGTTGCTTTGTTAACTTCGCGCATTTATTCGCACATTGTTTATTTGTTCAGATGTTCTATTAGTTATAGGTCTAAGTGATTTCAAATATGTATTTTTTACGACTAGAGTGTATCTAAAATGTTTTTGAGCAAATAAATTGTTTTAGAAGTAAATAGTTTCGTCATGTTTAGTTTATAAAGGCATATTTTGGTACAAATCTTGAAGTGGGCCAACTGAAGTGGGAAGGGGCTCGTAGTATATGTTTCGGTCACAACGGTGACCTTTTTCAATATCTTTTGTGGACCATAACTCGAATTTCTGGTCAAAGTGAGACCAAAATGTTACGTAAACTCTTCAAGATACTGTCTAAATACTAATTAAACATATAAATATATTTTCACGTTGAGCATCAATGGGCTCGAAAAAATAATCATAAAAGTCAATCATATCATGCTCATATTTTGTGTTGGTTTATTTACATCCGAAAATTTCAAGATCCTAACTAGTGAAAGTTTTTTTTATCTATAGGTACCAAGGTATACCTTATCAACTTCTTTACTGAGTCTCAATAGGGTATCACTATATACAAGTCAGACATTAAGGTCATCCGACCATTTTAACCGAGGACACCTTCAACACTCATAAGCTGTGATCTTATAAATTATAACAACAAAATATACTATTTTTAAAGTACTACGCCTGCCTATTTGCAGATATATTTATTATAATTTCTTCGAATTCCGAAAGCACCCCATATTTCTTCACTTCCTTCATTCTATTTCGAATTTTGTTTTTTTATTAATTTATATTATTTTTATTTTGTTCCGCATTCTAACCCCACCTTTTTTTCCGGTTTTCTAGACGCCAAAATTTTGGGAGTTCATACATTTTGAAATACCACACTTCTCATATGTCTTAACTTACTTCTAATGAAGCTTGCAAATTTTGTCTGTCTGAAGTTTTAAATAACAACAATTACTACTGACTTTTCCACTATTTCAATACTTGTATCGATTCTTCGAAAAAGCAAACTGACGTCGAAAGTTCTGTTCCTTTATTCATTTCTCTTCAACTTGTTAACTAATTTTCGTTAATTACGAACCAGTTATACTCGCTATTTGATCACCATCGATATACCAATATTTGAAACTGGATACCTCTAGAAGTTTGAAGTGCAAACAGTAAATAGATGTAGTATTTACTTGGGTAAGTCTGGCTTTGCCGACACAACCTAACTGCTATATGTCTTATTTAAGCAAGCATCCATGGGTTCTCTTTACAGGTTCACGACGAAAATACTTGTCATATTTGCTCAAAGAGACATGATCCACTGTTAAGTAAATTTAAAGTCATTGGAAATGTTTGTGTTTGCTAATACAAACATGACAAACGTAGTGATGGATCTAGATTCTTCATACACTCAAAGAGCTACTAGGGTAAAGCTCAGATACTGAAGTACATCAACTTTTGCAGCAACGTTAAAACAGTAGTTTGACGTTTTAAATTCTCGAGTCGGGACAACAAGCTCTGAGTTTTGGCCCTGACTCTCGAGGAGCTACGCAGGCCCAAATACTGAATGACATGAAATGTTGTAGCAAAGACCAAAATAGTTTGGCGTTTTATTCTCAGTCGGGACAATAATAAGCTCTGAGCTTAAGCCCTGACTCAGAATGTGGTGGTATCATGGAGGCCTGCATAGGGGAATAAGTTAGATAGAAAATATTCATGCTGTACGCCGTTATATTGTGACCCATCTTTCTACTGACAATGAGGCACTACGCGATGGTGTCTGGAGATACCAGTTCTGCGTCAGAACAGAAACCTCCAAATTCCTGGGTTAGACTACTACGTTTTTGATACCTGTATTTTTCTGAGATTTTTGTACACCTTTTTTATAAGAATCTGTATTGGTCTATGCTGAGATGAATTTATAATAAAAACAAGTTTACGTTTTAGAAACTTGAATAAATAGGAAGAGATTATGCCGTCTCACTTGGAGGTCCTGTTTCTCGGAAACTACTCTTAAAAAAACTTTAGGCCCATGAACGCTACTGTTCTACGTGTTGACGTCCACAAAATACTAAATTATTGAACATATTAGCCAAAAGCCATCCCCTAAGTTTTCTGCGGTGTGCTTTGTAATACACATTGTAATTGGTGATAGCATGTAAGATATGAAGGTGTTTTGTCATAGGTGTATGTAATGGGTGATTTTTTTGCTAGTATCTTTTTGGCAACACTGTTTTTGACAGATGACGCGTGAATCTTGTCTTGTGTCATTGTCAAAATTGTTCAGTTTGGTCTATAATTTAACCATGAATCGACTTACGAACGAACAACGCTTGCAAATTATGGGCAATTTGGTCGGCCTACTGAGGGAGCTATTCGGAAGCTTGTGGCTAAATTTCGAACCCAGTTTACATCATTGGACATTAAACCACCAACACGCAGACGTAGAGTGAGGACTGAAGAAAATATTGCGGCTGTATCCGCCAGTGTTAGTGATGACCGTGAAATGTCGATTCGCCGCCGTTCGCAGCAATTGGGCCTCTGTTACTCCACTACGTGGAAAATTTTGCGACAGGATTTGGGTGTTAAACCTTATAAGATACAGCTGGTGCGAGAATTGAAGCCACACGAAATCCCACAACGTTTCCAATTTGGTGAATGGGCGCTGGCAAAGTTGGCGGAAGATCCACATTTTTATCGAAAAATTGTGTTCAGCGACGAAGCTCGTTTCTGGTTGAATGGGTACGTTAACAAGCAAAATTGCGGCATCTGGAGTGAAGACCAGCCAGAAGCATTGCAAGAGCTACCAATGCATCCCGAAATAATCACTGTTTGGTGTGGATTATGGGCCGGTGGCATCATCGGGCCGTACTTCTTCAAAGACGACAATGGCCGGAACGTGACTGTGAATGGCGAGCGCTATCGTGCGATGATAACAAACTTTTTTTTGCCCAAAATGGAAGAGCTGAACTTGGCTGAAATGTGGTTTCAACAAGACGGTGCCACATGCCACACCGCACACGAAACAATGGCCCTATTGAGAGGCGAGTTCGGTGAACAGTTTATCTCACGTTTGGGGCCCGTCAATTGGCCGCCTAGATCGTGTGATTTAACGCCGTTGGACTATTTCTTGTGGGGCCATGTTAAGGCTAATGTCTACAGGGATAAACCAACAACGATTGACGCACTGGAAGCCAATATTGAAGCATTTATTCGTGAGATACCGGCCGATATGTTGGAGAGAGTGTGCCAAAATTGTACCTTGCGCATGGGCCATCTAAAGCGGAGCCTCGGCCAACATTTACATCAAATAATCTTTAAACATTAAATTATATCGACCGTTCTATCGACTCAAATAAAGATTTAATCGTTTTTTCAAATTTTTTGTGTTTTTTTGAGAATCAAATCCTATACCTCTTAAAAAATCACCCGTTACGTGTGTATCTTTGTATAAGACATCAGTGGGATACAATTTTTTTGTTTGTTAGATATTGATAATTTTTTGAAAAATATCCTTATCATAGATACGAGTTGGGCATACTTAATATACAGGGTGTCCGAAAACTTACCGTTCAAACGAAAAGGGGTGACAGGAAGGGTCATTTCCAACCAGAAAAACTATATATGTGTGTCCTTATCCATTATGTATTGAGCTATCATCATTTTTAAGATTGTTGAAAAAATCGTTTGAGGCTGTACTATTTTTGTTGAAGTTGTCATCAGCTTTACAGGGTATATTCCGAAATGATGTGTCGTTGAAAGAATCTATTAGTGAAAAAATATTACAGGTATTGTAGGTACAGCACTTCGGAAAAAATAGTACAGTCCCGAAAGTAGCGATTTTATAAGAATTACTATTGGGGATAACTCAAAAACCGCGTTGCACAATCAGATAAGTACATATATGGTTGGTCTATCACTACCTTTCGTTTGATCCTCAGGAACACCCTGTATACGGCACTGAAACTAGAAGATGCACGTATCTTCCGAGTAAGTCTACTTAACGCCAGTTTCTGAAATGCTATTTAGCTTCTCGGACAATTATCGTACGCAGACAATAATTCCTCTAACATTGTGCAACTACTTGAAGATCACCTTGAGTGCAGCTTTGTCGCTCAAACGGCTTTACTCACTTCCAAGAAGCCCATGCAGAAAATAGTCGTACCGAGATTGAAATCTAAGTGACAGAAGTGTAATTTTATTATTTGCCCTTCGTGTTGGAGTTAATCTCTTTTACGGTCTACCACCAATAACGATGTTAATAGATTATAAGTAGAACCTCACGTTCATGCACCGAAAAAAGGAGCATCAGGTTAAATTCATTTTTTCCTAGCCATTAAATTTATGGCGTAGCTGTATCATCCTTCGTATCTACAAATAAACGAAGGGCAAAAAATGTTGGTTGGTTATTATTACCGACAAAAACGCACATTGCGTTGAAGTCAGAAACGTAGGCGAGAGTTTTCCAAGGGGGCGAAGCCTGAGAACTAGGATTTTTTGAGCGTCTTCAAACACAATACCACAGATAACACAATCAGCAATGATGACGACCCCCTCACAATTTTGAACGATGGTCACAATATCCGACCATATCTTCATTCCTAGATCTATTCCTTATAATATTTTAACTTTGACGGTTTAATAACGTATTTCTGTACCCATGAAGCGACTGATGGCTGTTGAGGTGACCACCACGTTCTATAAAGTCATTATAATCTAAGTAGTATCTAATTTTTGAAGATGATATAGAGCTGAATTAACTAATATAATGCAATGGTTCAGCTTTCAGGCTAGTTTCGTAGTTTTTGACATCTTTTGTCTTAAATTTTGCCAATCTTCTGTCAATACCAATGCTGCGTTCGTGAATTGTTGCATAGTGTACTTTGTATTGCTCTGTGATTGTTTGGCGTATCCGGTCCAAGCATTCGGAAATAAGACAAAGTAATCCTTCTGGACCGTGTAAGGTGTTGTACCTGACCTCGAAAGAATGTGTGGTTATGGGTATCCTTCAAATTGCGAAAGCAAAAATCGTCATTTACAACAACAAACGATAAAATCTTGACAAACCTTCAAAAAATTACATCACACTAATCCGCACCTGGGGAGCGTTTGTAAATCACTAGGTAGTGTAATACAGAGATACAGAGTAATGGTATGTAGATTGACAGATGATGTTTTACTCTGGAATACTGTGTACTTTTATTTTTAGAGCGCCTAAATAATTACAGAGTTATGTAATGACACTTGATGACAGTCCACCAATTTCTGCGACCATTGTATTAATTATAGGAGAACCTTTAGATACGAGGAAACCTATTTATCCTGGAAGATTTATAACCTGTCAATTTTAAACACTTTTTGATAACCAAATAAAGTAAATAAGCAATGACAAGTGATGAAACTCTTCTTCCCAAGGTTTTGAGCAAAGGAAGAAAAGTGCGTTCTTGACGATTCAGAAGGATTACTTCGTTCTGTTTCCGAATGCATCTAACGGGTACGCCAAGCATTTACGAACGCTGAAATTGTTACAGATTGCGATGGATTATGTAACCTAAAAAGTGACACTATATCGATTTTTAATGACATTATGTCGGTTTTTCCGAAAAAGTGGCTTCATGTTGAGATGGCACTATTGGAGGCCATTTATATTATAGCTCCTATGACTTAAGCTGTAAGTGTTATACTATTGCCAGAAGGGGACACTGCAGCTTACTTATAATATGTGTTGTAGTATTCCAGTTAGGTTATCCACAAAAACTATTTTAGACATCATAGATTTAAACTTAAATTAAATGCACCTGTAAGAATACAAAAGGGGTTAGTTTTCTCACATATCATATACTCGTATCACTGTTGCTATAGGCATGCAGGTCGATCCACACAATTTTATTCACAAGCATACTCTATTGACTATATCGGCAACTTGCAACCCACAAAGCAAGCTGGTGAAATGTGAGTTGAGCCATTCCTCCGCAGATGGCGCTCACAGCGAATATCCGCGGAATGGGCTAGCGACAACCTAATACACAAGTTGACATCATACCGATTTTTAATGACACTATTTCAATTTTTTACGTAAAACCCCTGCCGGCCCTTTTAACATTACACAAACTTCATAAAATTGCGATCACATTCTAAAATCTATGAATCTGTAATACGACCTCATTTTTTTCAATTCATTTTTTCTATTTGACTTAGAAAATTGTAGAGGAGACTGATAAGATCAACTATAATTTTCTGCACATAGCAATCATATTAGATATGGTTGTGAATTCTTTTCTGCCTTTAGCTAGTTTTAACACGTGAAGGTGCTTTCAAGATCCGATATTCGGCGACTTTCAGCTGCAATGGCGGCACTTTTGAAGGGGACGGTAGTACCAGTATTCATATGTGTTGTTTGCTTTCCGTTGTTTACCTCCAAGGACCAGACCTATACCGTACTGATGATGGCTAAAGGGCATAGAACAACGCTATATACGGTTGGTTATGATCACAGATATGGCAAACAGATCCTAATCAGGCTGTACAAATCTCTAGTTCATTCATATTCGCTGACGAGGTTAACTACCGCTTAAATGCAAACACAAGGATATTTTTTTGAGGGTTGAAGTTAACAGCAAGGCCACAGTTAACTTGTAATTAGGAATTCGAAGTCGAGGTCTGCTCCCGAGTACGGCACTGATTTCTGCTAATACAAAAAGAGAGCATTGAGAGTGATTGACTGTGCCACTAGGACAACTCTATAACCTTCTTTGTTTTTCCATGGCTCACCGCGTTGGTACACTGTCGGTAATTACCCGAGGCGAATATGTATAGATTATATCGACAACCAATAACCAACAATTATCCGACGATTATATTAGAGAAGAAAGCATAATTATTTTAATAACCTGTCCATCTATACCTACTCATATTTTGTTGTGTATCGCGCATTCTTTGTTACCGGCTCGCTATTATTTTCTTTTTCTTCGTCTTCTTGCTGGTCTCCTTATGCTTCTTAGTAGATTAGTCCGGTGCAGAAATGGATCTTACTCTATTTGCGTATGTGGTGTACGAGGGATGTCTTTTCAGTTTTGCATATAGAAACATAGTAGGCCGCGCGGATCGAACGTCGGTACTGAATCTTAACCTCACTCTGTAGTAAACGTAAATTCAAAGTTTCACAACTATACGTGCAGTGTTCTCACTACAGTGAATGTTTAAGTATCACCAAGTCATTAGAAAAATGGAACTCAACCGAGAACACAATTTATCACAACTTTCAGAGACAAGTATCACAACAAGAATGCTTTGCTGAGTTACTGTCTGTTTTCGGCAACAAAGCGCCTCATCAGTCGACAATTTCCCGTTGGTATGGAGAATTCAAACGTGGACGGATGAGTCTTAGCGACGATCCTAGGGTGGGTGCATCAAAAACGGCAGTTACCGAGGAAAAAGTCGATGCTGTGCGCAAACTCATCATTGAAGATAGACATGTGATATATCGCGAAATTGAGGCGTCCTTGCACATCTCAAAGATCTCAATTCAAAAAATTAGTTTCTCGTTGGATTCTCCACCTGTTGACTGAAGAGCAGAAAGCAGCCAGGGTTAATTGGTGTCAAAAAGCGCTTGACCGTTTCAATTCCGGAAACTCAAAAAATGTGTACAGCATTGTTAGTGGTGAAATTGTGGATTCACTGTTATGAACCAGAAAATAAACGACAGTCTACTGTTTGGGTGTTCCAAGGTGAAGAAAATCCAACAAAAGTCATCCGTTCTCGAAGTGTTTCGAAAAAGATGGTCGCGAAATTTGTGTCATATTGCAACAATTCCTCTTAATGAGGAAAGAACTGTTACTGCGGATTGGTATACCATCATTTGTTTGCCAAAAGTCATCACCGAGCTTCGAAAAATCAACCTCGAAAGAAGAATCATCCTCCACCAAGACAATGCAAGCTCGCACACAGCCCAAAAAACAAGCCAGTATTTAACGGATGAAAACGTGGAATTATTGGACCATCCTCCATATAGTCCCAATCTAAGTCCTAACGATTTCTTTACTTTCCCGAAAATTATAAACAGACTGCGCGGTCAAAGGTTCCAGTCACCAGAAGAAGCAGTTGACGCATTCAAAAATGCCGTTTTGGATCTGCCAGCAAACGAGTGGAATAAGTGCTTCGAAAATTGGTTAGAGCGCATGCAGATGTGTATTAATCTTCGTGGAGAATACATCGAAAAACAATAAAGTTATTTAAAACTACCTACCGTGTTGTTTTATTTCCATATGCAAAACTTAAAAGACATACCTCGTAGTAGCTAGAACCCACTTGGGATGGTACCAGGTGAGTACGCGAGACAGAGCTACCTAGCGAATTTCGGATAGACATTTGTGCTTGATAAGTGCAATATAAAAGTAAACGGATATCAATGAAGGTAGTAGTCATTTAGTCATTTTTTGATATTATATCACCCAATGTTATTTGGTAGTTAGGCCATTAGGTCTAAATAAAAATATTTTACGATGACCTAACTACCCAAAACCCAACCAAATAACATTATATGGCATCAACGAAAAACCATGTCACTAATTTATGTCGGTCTGTACGATAATCATCATCAAAAAGGCCAAAAACGAAAAAAAGTAACATCGATCTAACGTTGTTTTTTGACGTTACAGGATATTGATCATTTTTTAAAACAATTATTTTAGGGGTAAGCAATTGAAAAGTGGGGGAGGGTGTATTTCGATTTTTTGATGTTAGTACAAATATATTTCTACGCTTCCAACCGTGGTAATTCTACGTACATATTAGCCATATTTCACACATCATACAATTAAGTAATCTCAATAATTACTTTTGTATGGTCTTTAATTAATATGTTATCAGATTTTTTGTTCTCATAATAAAGGAACCAGAAAGAGGGATCCAGTATCATAACTGATACTGCTGTACATAACAATATTCGATGTCGAAGAAAAATGCGATTTTTAAGCCAAAGAGTTTAATAATAATAATAATAATAAAGCTCAATAGCTTATCGCCAATAATAGAGCAGTTTATAAAAATAAAGGTTAGTCTTGAGGTAGTACCATGCGAACAAAGCATATACTTGTATACATATTTACAAAATGGTAAGTTTCAACTTGTCGCAGTCGTTAGCAATCTTATTGGCATTGTTACTCAACATATTAACTGGTGCTTTTGATAATAAGTTAGTCTGTGCTCTTTGACATAAAAGAGGAACACTAGCTTGTGAAGCTAATCGTGGTACCAGAAATTGTAACTGTAAGAGAATTTGGGAACAATCTACTTGACTGAGCACAATTTGTATAAAATGGGCACAGGTAATTTATTCCGTCGCTAATCTAAAGATTGAAAATAAAACTTTTGTAAAAGGTCATTATAATCGGAACCTCTTGCAGGGTATATTCCATCAGTTTTGAAGCTCATAAACTTTCTTCTGAATTTTATTAATAGCATCAAGATATTGTTTATAAATAGGGCATATAAGAGACCCATTTTCAAGTTTTGACCTTATTAAGCTGAAAATAAAGATCCCATTGTTTATAAGCACTAGAAATGATCTGGTTGATATGATCATTGAAGGTGAGTTGCCGGTCAAAGTAGACACCTGAATCTCTCACAGTCTCACAACGCCCCAATACGGAATCCTCCGTTGGGTAGTTGTACCATATAGGATTAGTCTGTCTAGAAAAAATGAGTTCCTCACATTTGTAAATATTAAGAAAAAGGTTGCTATTTTCACAGTGTAATATTGATTTGTTCTATCGAGGAAATAGAGAGAAACACTTTGAATCGTCAGCAAACATCAACTTAAGACATTCCAAAGATTCACATAAATCATTGACGAAAAGAATAAACAGTAGCGCTCCTAAGTTAGAGCCTTAAGGAACACCGTTGGTAGAAATGTAAACATGCGAATAGTATCCATTGTTTATACATGACGTGAAAAATAAGCACTATTGCGACTAATTGTTTCGGTCTTATTACTTTTCGATATTTTATACATAGGTACGCTGTGCATAGGCCACATACTCTGGAACACCCTGTATATGAACGAAGAGGCAACACTGTATAGGCAATCCAATCATTCTCGTACCGGACTATTCTTCTTCACCCGGTGTGATGAGTCGGCTTCTTCTATTTTAAACATGCGCTTGACAAGTGAGATTTTTAATTATCGTTTATTTTACATGACCGTCCTTGTCCTTTTTCTGTGTGCGTGAACAGTTTTTGTTCGATCCATTAAGAAATTTATTACCATCAGTTCATCAGCAGGGTATTGACGTCCCAGATACCTTATTTATTTATTATTAGATTTTACTTTTCTTCTGGCATGAGGTTTTAGAATTTACTCTTATGCTATGCCGACAGTAAGTGAGGTCGAGATGCGAGTATTTGGATTCTAACGTAGATACAAGCGGTAATCGATCATATGAAATATACATAGGTGAATCCGATACGTAACAAGAATTTCTAGATAAATATCTATAAGGTAAGATGATGATAACGATGAACGTGCAAACAACAAAGCCGCCTTAGAAGATTTCGGCGTATCACCCTGTACCATTTTATTTTTATTACAAGGGCAGTGATAAAAATAAAAACACTTACTTGGTCATGGAACGACAATGAGTTATCCAAGTTTGGCAAATGATAAGGGCGATATGACTTGCGATGTCCAGGAGGGGAAGCTAAGCAGTCACACAGACCTGGATGTCACGTCGGCGTCGGCCAAAACCCGTCCTGTTAACATCCAAAACGCTCCGACCCTTCCTCTGATAGAGAAAGCCGAGCAGCAAAGAATTTAACCACCTGAACTCAGCAACCTGACTAAGAAAGTTCCATAACAACTCCCAGAAGCATCGGCAGTTACTGAGCCCGTAAGCCGTAATAGACATACAGATATACTTGTATTGCCACGCCTTTTTTTATAAAGATGGTGGTGTGATTCCTCTTTCCTTGTTTTCAAATTAATTAATGAGTTAATAAAACACTATGAATGAAATCTAAGGGTCAGTAAATGCAAGACGGATTAAGCCACAAATTCCTGAGATGTTAGTCGGAACTTGTGTTCGCCTGACCACCACACAAAAAAAGAATCTAACAGTAATGATGAAATCTAATTAACTGCATACAAAGAGGCAAATATATAAAACAAGATATTAAATAATTACAATATATTACCAAACAAGCAGCGCATATGCTCCACCACTGGAGTGCAAGTTAAAAGGAAGGATATAATTCAGAACTACCTGCAAAACGTTTACCATGGTACACGTACGAAGGCTTTACAAATATAGGCTTCACAAATATTTTAACGCCTAATGATACACTTATCTGGATAATGGTCTTCTTTCAGTTACAGCTCTAGGCGTAGCTGTGATGTTCTCAGCTCTCAAAAACTCAGTGGCCAGTAGTGAGCTGTGACGTGAGGAACGTCACAAGGTAGGGGCTGCTTGCCTCGTTCCCAAAATATACGCTATAAAAAACCGTAGAGAGAGAAAGACTGTTTAAAGATCTACTCTCTACTCTATGTCTGAGACAGAACTACTACTACTCTTTTGCAAGAAAAATAAATCAGATGCAAAAGGATAAAAATGTACTACAGTGATATACCCTCAGAAAGTTATCCCTTATGCTAACATAAATTATAGCAGCTCAAAATTAAAATCATGATCAATGTAATGTAGTAAACCCAAAAGAAGGTGACATGTAGGCACTACCCTATATTTGAATACGTAAAATGCCAACACTCTAATAATTTCATTCAGCAATAATTAATATTAATGTCGACAAAATACCGAATTAAAATAATATTTTACCTGTTCACATTTTTTTTATCAAGGGTAAGGGATGGGTTCCAACAAAATCGGCTGCAAAACAGCTACAAGGAAGCTACAAAACAAAGCTGGAGGAGTGTGAATGGTGGTTCTCCGTGATGCCTTTCCACTAAAAGGAAGCAGATATTGAACCAACTTCTTCAGGCCATGCATTATTGGGTGTGGTTCGATGGTATACAAAAGAGAACTTACCGCTGGATGTTAAAATCCCATTAGAAAATGGACGAGTAGTACCCAGACCGAAACAATTAAACGTAAGGTACAAATAAAAGGGCACTACATAAACTGGTTAATATCCCAAAATCTGGAGGTTAACAAAAAAAAAGCGCCGGCACACAACCAAAATCACAGCGAAAAAGCAAGAGCTGGACGCGTCTGTATACCAAGTTTTTAAAATAAGGTACCTTGATCGAAAATCAAATATTAAATAAGATTAAATGAGTGGCGCTGAAGAAGGCACGTTCGATAGAAAGTCAAAATAAACCGAGGAAAGCCAGTAAAGAAGGTATCTTGGTAGTAAATCAAATTTTAACGGAAGATATCTTAATAGGCAGGTAAACATTCTAGTACGTGTAAAAACCAAATTACAACAAAATTTTATGAGGAAGTTTCTAAGACAATCGATAATATCCAAGATTTCAACACAATACTGAGTCGCTGAGAAAGAAAGATATAATACGTGTGAAATTATACAATCAATAAGCCATGAAATTTGCCAAAAGAAAATCATTAAAAAGGGTTTGGCCCAGGAATCGGTACTCTACTATTAATGAAGAGAAATTCAAATTACTGATAAGTGATCAAAATAATAAAAAGAAAGGTTACGTGACAGTAAGATCAAAGCATATACGGCTTATGATATTCATGATCATGAACATAAAGGTATTATGGTTATAAATCCATGCAGTACAGCATAATAAAGGAACTTCTAAGTGATTGCTCACCTTTCAGGCAATCAAAACACCACAACAAATAGCACAACAACCCTGTAATTAGGTTCACAACGCACACTACTTGTTCTTGGAAGCGACCGCGGTACCCGTCTGTGTGTATATGACCCCTCTGAAAACTTACCATGGGAAGATGTGCTCAGAGGGAAAATGGAATGTAGAACATAAAGAGGCTTAAGGGCGGTCATTTTGAGTGACACTAACCGGACTTGTGAACCGTCTAGAAAGATTTCGTGTGCTATACGGTTGAACTCGCAAGCAAAATGTGCTTGAGATATTCCATATGTTTACATGTCTATTACCGACTGCTTCGCCTATGATGAGGTATTGAGGGTGCGACGAAGGCATCTATCTTCTGGATGGCTAGGGTTAAATGCACTACCAGAAGTGAATAGAATAGACTAGTGTCGACGAGATGTCGAGCTAGTGGGGTTAGTGTTGACGGGATGTTAAGCTAGCGTGAACCCATAAAAATAAGGGTCTAGTCATATTAGGA